CCAATGTCTTTGCTGCTGACCTTTGATGATCCAGTTCAACCATACTAATAAGCAAAAATTACTTTAGAGAAACTAACAATTGTGCTTCGTTTTTTTATTGCTGAAGAGTTTCTTCTCCTGCGTTCTACTGTACAGACGTGAATTTACTTTTGCTTCAGCCTGATTTATTCATTACACTTTTTGGTGTGAAAGGGCTTTTATATTTGCTATAAATTGAACTTCTTATATTAAAAACAATCAAGCCCTGCTTATATTAAAAAAGTAACGCAAAAGTAATATAACGCATTACTTTCCATAAAAAGTAACGAAGTAACGCAATTAGTTACTTTTTTAGGGAGGAGCACAATATTGTAATGCATTACATTTAAAAGTAACTTTCCCCAACACTGATTGTCATGTAGGTTTTTTTTAATGATTGGCCCCTATTTCTGAAAGTATGTCAGCAGTTTGATATAAAGAAATAAAAATAAATGCTACAAAAAATTATATTTAGACTTTTAAATCATTTGGTCTAAAGAGTCTCTTTTGATGGAGTCCAGTGATACCATTTTTGTCTGTCTGCAGTTTTAAATTTGGACATAAATTACTGTATCTCACTGACATTTTAGCTTGTTGAAACAAAAGTAGGTAACCATCACTGACATTTAGTGTGACGACACATTGATGTCCTAAGACACGAAACGATCGGTTTGTGCCAGAAACCGAACAGTATTTATATCATTTTTTACCTCTAATACAATTCAATTTCCTCTCATTTAAATTCAGATTATTAGTCCACTACCCCTGGGAGTCACTCAGCCAGTTTCAGGACGATCTGATGTTGCATTACAAAATAAAAGCCCTCCAAAAACTCATATTATACCTGTTCTGCCTGTGATTTTGAATAACTCTAAAAAGGAAACTCCCTGTTTCCACAGACTAATTTCTATTCATATTAATTATTTTGTAATGGGAAATCAGACAGTCCTGACACTGGGGAAATTACATTCTGGACAGGTGTACTGTTAATCAAAAGTGAAACTTTTTTGTGAAAACAGGGAGTTTTCTTCTTATAACTATGTGAATTTACAGATAAATATGGTTATATACAAGTTCATTAAAGGGTTTTATTTTGTTATTTCTCATCAGACAGTTATTTGTTTATTTCTAAAATTCTACATTTAATATTACTCAACATTTGAAGTCATTTTCATTTTTATCAGACCGTTTTTTAAACATTTGTATTATTTTAGATGCATTCATTCATTGACAGAGAAACTGGCTCAATAAATGAATGCCAGAGAGCGCCTTTCCCTTGATCTGAGTGCTACACGCTATTACCGTAACGCCTAGTATATGCGCGAAACAACGTGGCGGCTAGAATGCCCGTGTTCTTCAAAGTGGAGGCTGGCCTGACCGAATTTATGCAGTTACTTTGATGTTCGATGTAAATATAAGATATATAGCCTATATGCACTTTATAGGCAAAAAACACATCTTTCCTACTTAATTCACAATATTTGATTTTCTAAAATTAATTAATAAAGGTTACTCTAATGGTCACCTGTCATAATAAGGGCATCCCCATATTTCATCAGGAGCACTGCCTGATCTGTCGCAGTTCTTTGTGGTCTCCTGTATTAGATCATACAGATGTTTAGTGACACAGATCAGGCTTTTCGGAATGAGGCAATGCAGTGAACGAGCTCTGCTGTCTCTGAAGATGATGATGATGATGATGATGTGTGAGTGAGTGAGTGGGTGTGTTCACTCCAGTGCCATGCGCTGCGATCCTGACAGCGTTCACATTACAGTCCACTCCGCGCATGAGAATGACAAACACGGCTTAAGCTCTCGGACGAGTTTGGAGTCATTCGGATTACAGTTTTGGAGACCGTTTGGAGATTCGATTCGCCACCTGAGGAGTTTACGATGTCAGGCTCGTTTTGTCGAAGTTTATACTCCTTCAACGGGGATCAGCATCAGCAGGGACTGAAGTTTGAGGCTGGAGAAGTGATCAGAATAACGCAAGCTCTGGACGGAGGCTGGTGGGAGGGAGAGAAGGACGGAGTCAAGGGATGGTTTCCCTCAACTTACGTGCAGGTGGAGGTAAGATCGTCATCACAGGTGTGTGTGTACCTGTTTTTCTATTCTGGTGGGGACTTAAACCTGAATACACACAGACTCATGGGGACTCGTGTCACGGTGTGTGTGTGTTTATCATCTGCTCTAACTGAACCATCGTGTCTAAACACGGGAACTGTATCGGCTACCTTACATGTGACACATTTGGGTTGTAAAACATTGTGGGAACGTTGTTTTGAAATGTTTCTAACACGTTGAAATGTTCGCTTTTCTGGTCGTGACTAGAACGTTCCTAAAAGATTTAAAAAAAAAACCGTTATAACTCTGTTTCACCGAAAATGTAACGTCATTTGAACGTTTATTTATAACATTCTTAGAACGTTAAAATGTCCAGGTTTCTTATCGTGGTTGTAAAGGTAACAAAAACGTTTCTTAGAACGTTCGGTAGGCTACAAATAAAATGTTTAGGACGTTCTGAGAACGTTATTTTAAGAGCGTTTCTATCTCAACAGAGAACTTTAATGAAGTTCAAATAACTTAAGCATGTTCCGGTAATGTTGATCTCAGAACCTTTTCTCATATCAATAAAGAATAAACATTTGAACTTTTGGCCTAACATTTATATAACTTTTAAATAGCCATATTGGTGAAAGTTGTGAGAACTTTCTGAGTCGTTCTTTCTTTAGCCGATAATCCCGCGGGGGGGTTTCAGTGTGGAATCTGTGATTCATTCAGTAGCCTACCTAATGCCACTCGTTTACTCGCCCATCGAAACGTTTCAAACCGGTTCTGAATGTTTGCGATGAAGAAAGGGCATGAGTTTCCCTCATGATGGGCATCTGTCTCTGATGAAGCGATACCAGGAACGGCTCGAGACTTCCTCGTTTCTCAAGCTCGGTCTTTTCATATCGCTTGGTCAACATGAAACTTACAAGAAAGTTAGAAATTACATTAGAAATAGTCACATGCTGATGTACACTCAGGTCAGTAGAGAGTGGGTCGGTCCATGTTGATATCACATGACCAGCCTAGTGTTGTTGACCAAGTTACTACAATCAATAAAACAATGTTAATACTGTGTTTACTTTACATGGCCCCTTCAGTGCTCAAAAAACTTTACAAAAAGCATAAATATAAAAAGTGCATTTATCACATTCCGACATAAACACAATAATTAGAGCGATTAAGGGAATCTAAACTTGCCTTACAATCGATTCAACTATGATTCAGAGGGTAATGATTCCAGCTGTTATCAAACAAATGTTAAAATTACATGACAACTATTATTCAAGTTAGGCTACTCGGCAATATGTGTAAACACAAAAATTGCGGTGCAGGGTAGGAGTGGAAGATATGGCCAAAATATGATTTCACAGTATGAGGTATTTTATTTCAGAATAACTATATATCGCATTATAGTTATTAAAAGTTAAGAATAAGAACAAATTGAAAATAATAACTGATGCAAATAACAAACAATAGGACAAATACAATATAAGATTTTAGGTTTAACAGCATTCAAGTAAGAAATAGGCTACTACAGAAATTAAATAATCAAATGTAAATGAAACACTGCATAGTATTCACTGTAAGAATTATTCACCGATCCTTATTAAAGCTACTACATTTTTTCAGTCAAGATAAGTGATTTTTTCCTGATTTATTTCCCCGTTTAAAAGTACTGTTGGAACAAATAAGCTAGTAGAGTCACATGATCCCCCCCCCCCCCCCAAACCCA